AACATGAAGTTTCACTTAAGGATGCTCTTAAGGAGCAGAAAAATTCTTAGTGTTATTAAATGGATATAAGTTTGAGCAAACTCCGAGAGACAGAGAAGGATAGGGAAGCCTGGCATGCTGCAGTTAATGGGGTCACAGAGTCGGACATGACTGAACTACTGAACAAAACAAAACAAATTAAATCTTGACCCTTAAATCCATGTCTTCTCCATATGCTGGGTGATGAAAGCACCAGAAAGTGCCTTGAAGAAAGGCACTTGTGCCTTTTCTTTCATGGAACATCATTTTTATTTAACAAAAGACTGATACAGAAATGAGAGTTCCTCAGACATGGGTATTCAGGAGATATTTTCTTGAAAATGAATGAAGTGAGCCTGCCACTTCAAGAAAAACAACTGACAGTATTTAGTTTCCGATGACAGTATTTCAGCTTTCAAGCGAAGAATAGAATTTTGGAAAACCCGAGTCTGCCGCTGGAATTTGACTGATCCTCAATACTCAGACTGTCTGATGAGATCAACTGTGATATTACACAGCAAAAGAGTGTGATTTTTTTTTTAGACTGTAAAATAAAGTGTGTAAGGATTTTCAGCATGTGAATAACAGTAGGTCATTGTTTTCCAAATGACTAATGTTACAGAATCGTGCATGGGTAAAGGAACCATGGAAAATGCCAGAAGTGTTTATTGATATGCTTCCATATTCCAAATTGCAACTAACCTTTAAGAAACTTGTTGAGTTTTGTTGTGGTAAAAGAAGAATAGCACAATTATCTTAAAAATATTCCCTCCTTTACCAACTACAAAGCCACATGAGGCTAGATTTGCTTCATTGTACTTTAGCCAAGACCTCATTTCACAACAGGTTGAATGCAGAGGCAGAAATAAGAACCCAGCGGTCTTTTGTTAAGCAAGAGACACAAGGCATCTTGTATCACTGACCATTTTTTGGTTTTGAAAATATAGATTTTTTCTAAAAATATTTTATGTTAATATATAATGGGTTCATTATTGATATAAATGAATTAATCAATTAATTATAATTTCTGTTTCAACTTCAAATAGTGCAAATATTAATAGACATAAACCACAGAAATAAAATCTTTTTGTAGTCCTCAGAAATTTTAGAGTGGATGGTATCTACTGAGGCTTGTTGGAGGACAGGCCACACGTGGATGTAACTCAATAGTTCCAAATTTGCACTCCAGAGCCAATGTAAAACCAGAGTACTTTTCATTTGACTTTAGCCCTTTTACTATGTAAGACAACTGTTGAATTTTGAATGAGTTTTCTCTATTTACAAATTGGCAGTTTTTATGTGAAATATCACATTTTTCAGTTGTCTTGAAAAACTGAATGGCCTGGCTTTACTGGGTCCACATCCTGCCTGGCCCCTGCAGTTGGGTGGAGTAGCCTTCCTCTGCATGCATGCCTTCCAGTGTCCCTCCATTCTTGCCACATCCCATTCTTTACATTCCTCCCTTTAAACCTGCTCCTCCTCAGTTGTCCACATGGTTTCTCAGCTCCTAGAAACATCTGTGTTTGAAATATCTCATTTACATGGTATCCTCAGTAGCAAGAAGCTGGGAAGACCTGGGTGTGTCTCTCAAGACTCTTCCACTGCTCCTTGGGGAATGTTATATATCACAAGATGCCAAGAGCCCATGAAAAGAAGATAAGATCACCAGATGAGACACGGACTTTTGAAATGGAGGCTAAAGTCATATTTTAAGACTCATTTTCTCAAATATCTTTATAACCTGCTGCTGAATATGGCAAGTGGATGGGTAAGGTGTCAGGAGAGTAGCTGAAATGGGGGTTTAAAAATGAGTTTGTGCTCAAGAGCCAGAGCGTTTGTGTTCAAATCCTGGTTATAAACCTTTTGATAGTTGTGTGACCTTGGATGAGTTATCCAAACTCTGTGTGTTTAGTTTCAATAAATAAATAAATGAAATAAATGAAAAACGAGAGTCATATTATCTACCTCATTGGGTTGTTGGAAGAATTAAATGAGGCAGTATGTGACAGGCATTTAGAATAGTGGCTGGCACAAAAGAGGCTTTTAATGATTGTTAGCTGTGATTTTCATTATTCTTTTGAGCTGGGCTCGAGCCTGGCTATGAAAGGGAAAGTCAGCTGCCTTAGGTTCTGCCAGAAAACCTGGACTTTGTCCTTTCCACCCTATCTCCCAGATCCCAGGCATCCTGACACGAATGCAGTGGATCCCAAAAGATATTTGAGAATGACATGGTGACTCATCTTGACTGACAGGCACAGTTACTCAATTCATACCTGTTAAATCTACAGTGATTTGGCAGAAGTACCTAAATAGACATTTCTCCAAAGAAGACATACAGATGGCCAACAGGTACATGAAAAGACATTCAACATCATTAATTATCAGAGAAATGCAAATCAAAATTACAATGAGCTGTCACTTCAACCGGTCAGAATGGACATCAGCAAAATAATCCACAAACAGTAAGTGCTGGAGAGGGTAAGGAGAGACGGGAACCCTCCTGCACTGTTGGTGGAAATGTAAACTGGTGCAGCCACTATGGAGAACAGTATGGAGGTTCCTCAAAAAACTAAAAATAGAGCGGATCTTCCCGACCCAGAGACTGAACCTGCATCTCCTGTGTCTCCTGCATTGCAGGCAGTTTCTTTACCTGCTGAATTGATTCAGCAATCCAACTCCTGGGCATGCATGCAGAGAAACCATAAACCAAAAGATATATACACCACAATTTCACTGCGGGACTATTTACAGTAGCTAAGTCATGGAAACAGCCTAACTGTCCATCGACTGCTGAATGGATAAAGAAGACGTGGCACGTACATATGCAACGAAATAATGCCATTTGCAGCAACATGGATGAACCTAGAGATTATCATACCAAGTGAGGTAAGCCAGACAGAGAGAACTACCACATGATACTGCTTATATGTGGAATCTAAAAAATGATACAAATGAGCTTATTTACAAGACAGAAACAGACTCACAGACATGGAAAGCAAACATGATTACCAAAGGAGAAAGGGAAGAATGGAGAGATAAATTAGGAGTTTGGGACTAGAACATGCACACTCCTATATAGGAAATAGATAGTAAGCAAGGACCTACTCTGTAGCACAGAGGAACTATACTCAATATCTTGTAATAATCTATAATGGGAAAGAATCTAAAAAGGAATATATATAGAAAGCTAAATCACTTTGATGTACACCTGAAACTAACACAGTATTGTAAATCAACTATACTTCGATAAAATTTAAAACAATTTAAAAAATCTATAGTGGATTTGATGTTGCTCATGAGGCATATTAATAAGTCCATTCATTTGTTCTTTCATGCATTTATCCAGTTGATTAGTATTCTATTTATTCTTTAAGCATCAGTCTATTGAATGGTTTTTTATTCATTTTTCATTCATTAAACATATTGCTTACTATGTTCCTGGCACATAGACATGGAAGCTCCTTGTTTTGGGTTAGAAACAACCGCCAGCTATTTCTGGTGAACAGGGTCTAAGTATTTTAATTCCTTGTCTGTTACAAACAACCATCCTGTTTCTGTTGAAAGATTTATCCCTAACCTGAGACCAAGTAACATACATGAAATAAATCACTATTCAGAAATGGCCTTAAAAAGAGAAACAAGACTATAACTCTTAGAAAAAATTCTGTAAGTACCCAATTTATTCATAAAATAATACACTTTCAATATTTATAATTTTTTTCAGTCATATATTTACCATCATTCCCAAATATGCTTTTGGCCAACATATATTTGTAAGGTTAAGATCTATATTTATAATACTGGAAATCATACAAGGCATTTGATTTGCACGTGAAATACTCCCCCCCTTACCAAACAACAAACAGATCTATTGTGCCTTGTCATTTACCTTCCTGTATCTCTGAACAAAAGTAGGCTTCACCTAGGGCATTTTATACTTGCAAAAAACTTGCTAATTTCTCTGCAAGACGATTATACAAGTGAAACATTCACTCTTTAGGTTTAAGGGTGGCCAGGTTATATCAAAACAAAACACCTCTACCCAAAACAGTCCCAAGCATTTGTGTTGATGATTCAATTTGTTCTCAGGAGTGATAAGAAGTACAAAGAAGCCCAAGAATAAGCTTAAAGATCAGTCTGGTGGGCCACCTCTCTTGAGGAGCCACACCCCATGGCCATTTTCTGTGGACAAGTCTCCACTGTCACGGGTCTATTGAAGACTCTTTGAGGTCACACCTAAGGATTGATATAAACGTGAGGCCTGAATTGGCATCACCTGGGATTCTGTTACAGCTGCTTGGATCTTGGGCTCACACAGACCAATTGCATTACAGTCTAAATTTTAACAAGATCCTCTGGTGAACTGTATACACAAGGAAGTCTAAGAAATGCTGGACTGGGTGCCCCAGCCCCACTTTAAGAAGATCACCTCTAGCTGGATAAACCTCTTCTTCAGGGGAGACACCGTTCCCAGCAGGGAGGAATTATAGATGACAACTGCAAATACAGTATGGGTTTTTTTTTTTTTTATTTTAAACATGCAAAATACAGTCCATGCATCTGCCATTTTAAAAAGTCTCTCATCCTGTAGCAGATAAAACCAAATATGTTTTGGCTATCAACATTCAAGAAATGTTTCAAAATGCTTTACAGTGTAAAGATAATAAGAAATTTAGCAAAATTTCAACAAACCTGTATAAAAAACAGATACAGATAACATTTTATTTCAAGGCAACATGCTGTAATGTAAAGAGTAAGTTATAATTATCTGTGTTTCTTTGTAAAAAGTCTTTAACAATACAAGGGTTTAACAGATCCAGGCCTCAGGGCTACACATGCAAAAAAAATTGTCAGTTAGTTAAAAATCACCAAACGTGCTATTTTTAAATGTGTATTTGTGTGTCTTTTTAAGTACAGGAGTAATAGAAGTATTAAATATTAGCAGGAATAGTATCTGAGAACTCAGTAAAAGTGTGTACAGTTCATGGAGCCAGTGTCCGGGAAGATTCATACATTTCTGATGAACATTTTGGCTTAATCCCTTTGCCATTGTAATAGTCCACGACTTGGTTTGGGACTTCAGCCAACACGCTCTTTGCCAGGGCAGCTGGAGATGCCTGCAGGGAAGAAGAAATCAGCATGACTCCGGCACCTGATTGAACTAATCTGACCCAAATCAGCCTAAAACACTTGAATCCTGCTCTGAACAGCAGGTTTCATTCACTCATTCATTTATTCATCATTCATTCTGTACTTGTCAGCATCTACTCCAAGCAAGAGTTGTCAGATTGTTGGAAAGTGAGCTTTTAATTTCATAACTGTGATTTTTTTCATATCTGTCTCAAAATAAGGAACTATTCACATCTGAGGATGGGTGAACATTGGATGGTAGAAAGAACTGCCTTGCAGTTTTGTGTTTGAATTACATTCAAATCCAGACACCTATTTATGTTCCAGGCACTCTGGGAGTGTTCATAGTGTCTGTGGTTCTTGCCGTTAGGGAAGTTGCCGTCGTGTGAAGGATTTCCTTGGTGGCTTGCTGCTGTTGCTGCTGCTTAGTTGCACCAGTCGTGTCCGACTTTGTGCGACCCCATAGATGGCAGCCCACAAGGCTCCTCCATCCCTGGGATTCTCCAGGCAAGAACACTGGAGTGGGTTGCCATTGCCTTCTCCTTCCTTGGTGGCTTAGACGTTAAAGAATCTGATAGCGATGTAGGAGATGCAGCTTTGATCCCTGTGTTTGGGAAGATCCTCTGGAGGAGGAAATAGCAACCCACTCCAGTATTCTTGCTTGGAGAATCCCATGGACAGAGGAGTCTGGTAGGTTATAGTCCATGGGGTAACAAAGAGACACAACTGAGTGACTAACACACACACACACACACACACACACACACAGAGTCATGTGAGGGGAGCCTGGTGGGGCCGAAATGAACCCTCCCATGAGGCAGAACATGATCCCTGCCTAAGTTCATCACATGTGAACTTATTAGAAACTAAGATCCTTAAACCCATCCCAGAGCTAATGAATCAGAATCTGAGTTTTAACTCAATGCCTAGGTGACTCCTATGCATATTGAAATTTGAGAAGCACTGCCCTAGGGAGTCACAAACACTGTGTGACCAGAGCACAGAAAATCAAGAGAGTAAGCCATCTAAGAGATCACAGCAGGCTTCCAAGAAGAGATAGCACTTAAGTTGGGGTATGTTTTGAAACAGGGAGAAGGAGAGGACTGGCGTTTGATCATTCTAGGGACAGTGAGTCATCTGATGGGGCTCTGAAGGAAGTGTGTATTAGGGATGCAGGATTGGCTGTGCTTTCGGCTGGAAAAGGAGCTCGTGTCTGAGTGATGGAATGTCTTGAATACTGCGCTGGTTTCTGTAGCCTTTCTTCTATCAGCATTATAGACTCTAAGCCTTGGGGCAGAGGAAGGTGGAGGCTGACTTTCTGCATGGACTCTGGATTCAAGCAGAGCTGGGCCTGACCTCTGACCCTGGCACTCATTATTCACTGCCCAGCCCCTGGGCAAGTAAGATTGCCTGAATCTCCTCGTTAGCAGTTCCTGCAGAGGTTGAGAACTGGAGGCAGAGTGAAACGTTTGAAGTCCCTCCGGGAAAATCCTGAAGGAAAGAGGGCTGGCCTAAATGCCAGGTGGCGAGGTTTCTAGCTCTTGCCTTCCTTGTCACTCAGCCATTCAACTTTGCTACAGGAAAGGAAAGTTTGAGAAAGTTTCCTTTGAGACAGGAAAGGAAAGAATAGGAATTCATTCTACCTCAAATATTCTAGGTGGCTCAAAATGCAAGAGATCTTAAAAATTTCAAAAACAGTCTGAAAATACTGTGCTTCCAAAGTGACTGCTCACATTTTGAAGATGTCAGTATGCTGGCCATTGGCATCCATTAATACTCTTTTATTTTATAAATAACCGCTCAGGTGTTAGATCATGGCCAACTCGTACACTGGGGAAAACACAAGAGTCATTTCCTCCCTTTTCTCTCTGGTTGTTGCTCACACAAAGGCTAGAAAGATAAAGACTTGATTTTCCAGTCTTCTTGGCATGTAGGGATGCCATGTGACCCAATTTCATTATTTGAGACCCAAGTGAAGTTTCCTGGGGGCTGTTTCTTGGAAAGCTCTTCAATAGACATCATCAGTTCTATATCTCTTTCCCCTTCCTTTTTACCTTGAACTAGAATGTGATTTCTAGAGCTTTGGCAACCATTTTACCATTATGAGGGAATAGCAAAAAGAATCTCTAAGTGGTACTGACACTATTGAATCATTGAAAAAACTGGCCAGTAGCCACTAGCCCCTAATATTTAGTTACATGAGAAAAGAAAAGTATATTTGTATTTACATAATCAATTTTGGCACTATTTCTATTTTGCTATACTAGATATGTTTGATTATTTTTCATGTGGGGACTATTCCTCTGGAAGAGGACTATTCCTCTTATAAGCATAGGATGCTTACAAGCCTCTCTGGCCTCTGCCTATTGGATGCAAGTAGCCGTCAAAAATGTCTCTAGTCATTGCCAAGTTTTTCTGGGAGGAAAATCATCCTTGGTTAAGAACAACTCATGTGATCCACTGTGATATGGGTTTGCTGTTATTTTAAGACAAAACTATTCCTGACCAGTGTGTCAAATAGAACTTGATTGGGTGATAAAAGTATTCTGTATCTCTGCTGTCCAATGTGGTAGTCACCAGACACATGGTGTCTCTGAGCCCCTGGATAGTATGGCTGAAAAACCAATTTTTAAATTTTAATGAATTTAAATTTAAATAACCACATGTGGCCCTTTGCTACTGTGTTGGAAGGCACAGCTCCCAGTGATTCTCCTGCCCTTTGCACATCTGTACTGGTGGTTCTGGTGAGCAAAGACTGCTTAGAGGTCCTTAGGTTGGGAAAAGGAAAAAAATATGAAAGTATCTGGTAACAACAGTAGTAACAGCTGCATTTATTAACCTCCTACATGCACCAGGCACTGTGCTGAGCTTTATATAGGCCCTTCCTCTCATCTTCCAAAGTGTGTGTCATTTACCCCATTTTACAAATGAAAGTCTGCGACACAGAGAGGTTAAGTAAATTGCCTTGAGTCACAACAGCCCACAGCCTCTGCCTGTCTGAAGGTCTGAGTTACTTTGCAGAGCAGAAAAAGAGAGGCAATTCATGGGTTCCTGGCTGTTTGAAATGATATCAGCACCTCATCTTGTGCTTTATTTATGGTTTATTGAATTCAGAGTAGATTAGTTTGGATAATGAAATGGTTCTCAGAATCTAATCTGAAATTCAGGAAGATAAGGTGGGTGTTGAGCTCCTGGGGCTCTGCTCTGCGGTCCACAGGAAGCTAGGGCCCTGGGGCAGAGGGACGGCCAGCACACCCCCTTCCTGGCCCCATGAGGCACTTCCTTATTGCAGGTGTCCCTCTTCCCCTCCCACCACCCCACCAAGGTCTGCCTCCTTCATGTCCCAACTCCACCAAGGTCTGCCTCCTTCATGTCCCAACTCTGGCCACGTCTCTGAAGTTTTGTAGTGACAGGGTAGCCTTCCTCAACCACCCACGGATCACTTAGGTGGACACCTGTGTTCCAAATGGGCAATTCTCCAGTCAGTTCCTGGAGGAGGTTGGGCCCATGGCTCCTTATCTCCCTGTGGTCCCAGTGCAAGCACGCAGCAGGCAGTCTGTAAGTGTGTGAGGGGGAGCAGGGCCTGGAGCAAAGGCTGCAGCCCTACATGGCAATGAGGCATGTTTGTGTGTGCGTGTGTATGTGTGTGTGAGTGTGTGTCTGCAGCGGGTAGGCAGAGGGTGGTATGGGGAAACTCCTGAACCCCTCATCACTCAGGCAATATTGCGGGTGGTGGTCACTCCTGTGGTACTTCTGTCAGCTGACAAGATGGGGCAGGACATTATGGTCTGGAAGAACACTCTCTCCCACCTTGGCATCACCCTAGCAACTAGCATCATTGATGGACACAACTGTAGGTGCTTCAGCTCCAGCACACCCCGACTTGACAAAGATGCCCCTCCTTGCTGTCCTGTCCTGTCCCAATCTTGGGGGCTTGAAACCTCCCCTTGGGCAAGTTGAAGATAGGCTATGGTAGCAGAGGGACCCTTCCCCCAGGCTTACTGCCCACACTTGTGGAAGCTTTCACAAGGGGCGTGGAATGAAAGAACAGGGGACTCTATAACCCAGCAGGGCTCTTCAGGGCCACCACCAACCCGGAGGGAAACTTCGTGTGAGTCAGAAAAAAAAACATTTCTTTTTAAACCCGTTGGTCATGAACCAGTATTGAGTCTACCTTGGCAAACCGATTCCAGCATTTTCCCCGACTGATCACAATCAACTGTTTAATATTACCCTTTAAACTAACTTTGTCATCTTGCTGGTTCTTTCACTACTGAATTAAATAAATCTTTGATACTGCTTACTATATATTTATAGAGGATTTAGGGTTCTATAATTTTGAAAACATACTTTGCCAAGGGAAACACAGGTCTCTTCCAGGGCACATGGCTTGACAAGGAGAACTGAGGCTGCATTTCAGCTCCTCTTTACTACTTCAGCTGGGCACCCTTGAGCAGGAAACAACCTGTCTAACTGTATATGCCAGCCTTGGGAACACTGAAGACCCTAAATTATGTAGATGAGGCAGGTTCCAATGAAAGTTTGGCTACATAGTTAGCATGACTCCTCATCCATAACTCAGGACATACATCTCTCTCCAATGAGTCAAGCTTTACAAGTTCTAGCTGGGAGTTGGCCTGGCCCAGGCAGGTATGGCTGGCATTGCTTCACTACCTACACTGGTAGAAAAATGGGGCGTTTCTGCTCTCCCAAGGGAAGCCCCCAAAATATGCGTACGTGTTTGAAGTTCCTGAAGGGCACGAACTGGACGATGTCACGGAGGACAGGCTCTCCCTTGGGTGATCTCAGAATCCCATCATCACCGTCCAGCATCTGCATGTCGCTGAAGTCTGCGTTGCCTACTCCCACGATGATGACTGACATGGGGAGGTGGGAGGCATGGACAATGGCCTCCCGTGTGTCGGCCATGTCTGTGATGACCCCATCAGTCAGGATCAGCAGGATGAAGTATTGCTGCCATAAGTCAGACATCAGGAGACAATAGGGACAGAGAGGCGGGGGACACAAGGACAAAGCCAGTTACACACTCAGGTGGCTCCAGGGCACACTGACCGCAGCAAAAGTGATGACTAACTTTTCCTGAATGCCTGAGTTTACAGCCCTAAACACCAAAGACTTAGGATGAATGGAGCTTAAAGGCTGGCTCAGTAATTGCAAGTAAATCCAAATAATCACCTTAGTAATGTTTATAAAGCACAGGGTATTGACAGAATAGTAGAGGAGTCAGGGGGTTGGTTTCAAAGCTTCATTCTCTGAGATGGTGGGAATTTTCCCCTGAATCCTCTGGGTCTCACCCTTTTCATCTCTCAAGTGAGTGGTGGAGCTGGATCATTCATAGGGTCCTCTTCAGCTTGGAGATTTGCAAGTCTAAAGTGGAGCTGCCTAATTTAGCCAACAGCTCCTTGTAACTACTGAGGCCTTGAAATGCCATGCAAGCAATGGAGAAACAGAATTTTAAATTTTATCTCATTCAAATAAATTTAAATTTAACTTAAAAAAATGGATACCTGATTGATTTACTGGAAATCTTTTTAAGTATATTTGCACAACTATAAATATGTGAATCTAGGGGACATATGTATACCTATGTCTGATTCTTGTTGATGTTTGACAGAAAACAACAAAATTCTATAAAGCAATTATCCTTCAATTAAAAAATAAATTTAAAAATATGTGAATCTACTTTTTCAATTATCAATTTATTGAATCTATATAAGGATCAAGTATTTTTGATGATAATTTAGCATCCAAATTGAGATGATATAAGGATAAAATACACACTAGATTTTGAAGACTTAGTATAAAAAATAACTTAAAATACTTTATTAATAATTTTTATATGGAGTATCTCTTAACATGATGGTTTTAGTTATGCTGGGCTAAATAAAATATGTTACTAAAATGAATTCCCCTGTTTCTGTTCAGCTTTAAACTGTGACTACTGGAGAATTAAAAATTTCTGCACACCTTCCACTCTGTTTCTAGAGGATGGCACTGCACTAAAGCCCTAGGAGAGGTGAGGATTGTGGGCTCTCCTTCTTTAGGTCGCGTGCCCTGGACTGGTGAGTGGTCTGCGGGTGGCTGCCCTTCTCCGAGGATGGGGGTGGAAGGCTCTTACTGCTCTAAGTTATGGCTGAACAGGCTTGTGGGAGTCTCATCTGAGACGGAGACGGGGCAGGAGGCTCCATACTCATCAGCACACAGAGGGCTAGGGAAGGGCTATGGGGTCTGAAGAGGGAAAGTTCAGGAAGGACCTCACTGTCCTTAGTTGTTAGAGGCATCATGACAGCCTCTCGGATGAGAGGGGATTCGGGAATGAGGTTACTGAGATGCTGCTCACACCAAACTCTAAAGAACTTTTAATGTAACCTTTGCAATATGCTCATCTACAAGGGAGTAAATGTGGGATGGTGAAATCACTCCAAGTTGCCACATTTCAAAGGAGAAAGACTAGATAGAAAAATCACATGTTGAACACATCTGGTTTTGAGAATCACACTTAAAAGGTTGCATATAGGGCTGGCAGTGCTAAAGAGTTCCTATTTTTCTCTGTGAGTCTGAAAAAAATATTTTTAAACAAAACAACCCAGTCAAAATACAATTGGAGAGAAGAGAAATTCATACTATGATGAAGACAGACATGTGTCCTTAATGCTTTTCATACACTTTAATATAGAGGCAAATTCTGTTCCATGCCTGCTAATTACCCACCCCTAGTTCTAACTGAACAATTTTTAAATTCACTTGAGTTATCAATTTTCATCCATACTGATGCTTTTGGAGTCTTATACATTCACAGAGAAAGTGGCCTGGGAGTTTGGAGGAAGGTTTTAATCAGGGAAAGTGATGGAGGAGCTAGGGAGGTGCAGGGAGAAGGGGCCAAAGGAGGCAACTTGGTGGCTTAGGGATGGACAGATATGGTGAGCCACATGAGTATATGATGGATATACCAGAGCCATAAATGACTCTTTGCAGGGTGCACCTTGGAGGCTATAACAGGTACCAAATCTGGTTGGAGACTCCTCCTGATCCCTGAGCAGGTGGCCTTGTGAGTGAATCACACTTCTGCACCCCCACCATTCACTCCTCACCCTTCCCTAATTCCTGTCTGATCTGATCTTCATGGTTCAGGGCATGGATCTCCCCTACCTGTTCCCTACAATACCTCCAGGAGCAAACAACCTGAAAATCACACCACCATATCGAGGAATTTAGAGTTGTCACTGTCTAAATCTGGTGTTGGGAAAATATTTTCTGTAAAGGGGCTATAATAAATACTTTAGGCTATGTGGGTCATAATCATGTCCATGGCAATGACCTAACTCTGCCGGTTAGAATGAAAATAGTCATAGATATTACTTAACAGGAATGTGCATGGATGTGTTCCAATAAAACTTTATTGAGGGACACAAGTTTGAATGTCATATGACTTTGGCGTGCCATGAAATATGATTCTCCTTTTGATTTTTTTTCAACCATTTAAAACTGTAGAAGCCATTCTTAGCTAACTGAAAAGCAGACTGCAGAATGTTGCTGGCTTTTCATTTAGAGCAGAGATTCCTTTTTTCCCCCCTAGTATTATTTATTCATTCTTTACTTCTCTCTCATTTGCCTTGATTTCATTTTTTTTCTCTCTCATTTGCCTTGATTTCATTTTTTTTAAACTTATTTTTTTTTAACTGGAGGATAATTGCTATACAGATTTTTTTTTGTTTCTTCCAAACATCAGGATGAAACAGCCATAGGTATACATATGTAACAACCTAGAGAGGTGGGATGGTGAGGGAGATGGGAGGGAGGTTCAAGAGGTAGAGCAGGGATTCTTAACTTGGGCTTGCAGACTGTTGAATTGAAATAATTTCAGGCCATCTGCATAGTTGGGGTAAATTAAAGTTCTGTTTTCACTTACCTTTAACTAAAAACATATCATTTTTCAATTCTGAGTATAATCACAAATAAAATTGGTTTTAACTGTACTTATGACTGAGTCACCAATAGAAATCACAGAATATGTTCCTGTTATAATAGAGTGTATCATTTACATTCAATATTACTTAGAAATAACAGAATTATTAGGCCAGCCACTAATTCTCATAATTTAAATTTATTACTATACTTATGATGCTTCTATGCCACATTTAAAAATATTTAGTTAACTGCATTTCAACATAATTAGTTTATTTTATAACATATAAAGTAATGTTCATTTAAAGGCCATTCTGAGGAGGGGGCCCATGGGCTTCACCAGCTTCTAATGGTGTCCATGGATCAAAAAGGGTTAAGAAGCTCTAGTCTGAAAAGACTGTCAAGATTCTAGACCTGATCCTTCCAGGTTTAATCTAGCTAAAGGTAATAGGCTGCAGACTGCTGGATCGAAACCCTGATGGAAATTCCCAATAAAGCTTGCAGTAACAGTTGCTTCCAAAGTCAGGCTAGGAAAATGCTCATGGGTGAAACATTAGAGTCTGAATGTACTTGAGGTCCTGTTTCAATAAGGAGGGGATTTTTTTTCTTTCTAGAAGAGTTTCATAAAACTGGGGAGAAAATCCTATAGCCACAGACTTCCTGACACCACGTGCCTACAGGGTTCAAGGTTAAGACACTTAGCAATCAGTGATAACAAGGGGCCCTGGACCACACTCTGTTAATAAGATAATAGAAACTCTGGGAGAAAGCATCAGTGTTCCTGGAATACAGGAATGAGTTATTTGAGATGTGGATTAGATCCTTCCAGTACTGTTTTCTGATCTGTCCTTTCAGAGCAGATCCACCTGATCCTGGAGGAGTAAGTGATGCCAAAACCTCATTCTGGTTTCTATTAATCCAGAATGCACACTTATGTCAGATTCTCTTTACTCCTGTGAGTGTTGGTACATTAGAGAGGCTGAGATAACTCAGTTCTCAAACTGGGCTCCATGGAGCCCTAGGGATGCCTTGGATCATCTTAAGGATAAAGCAGCTAAGGAGAATAGACAAGTGTGGACCCCACCCCTTAGCCCAGATTCAGTCAGAACAGTCTGTTTTCTTAAAATCTATATGTTTGGTTTCTAAACAAGATATTATTTGAAGAACTTGAGGTTCTGGTGATTTAAAAGGGGTTAAAATAAATGAAATACTGATCCTGTCCAGCCCTATCCCTAAGCCTTGCATCTGTGAGGATTCAAAATTTCTCCAAGGCCTCTTGGGTTTGGTAAGACGGAGCTGCTATTGACTTTGACAAGCGTGGTCTTCAGAGTGGTGTCAGGAGCAAAGTTTGGATGCTATGGGAAGAGGTACCAGTGGAAAGAAGAGATGGAGATGGTGAGTATGGGCAGTTCTTTCAATGAATTTTGCTCAAAAAGAGTAAAATAAGGGACAGTAGCTGATGGGTAGAGTGGTGTCAAGGGAGAGCTTTGAACTTAAGAGATATTACAATGTGTTTTATTTGCTAATAGGAATGAGTCTTCAGTAGAAAGAGAAATAGATGATAAGGAGAGAAAGGGAATGCAAGTACGAGGGCAGTGTTCCTGGATAGTTGGGAGGTGTATGCTAGAGTGCAGAGAGCGGACACCGCTGTGAGATGGGAGCATGTCCAGCCCATCCTCACATGAGGAATGCTAAGAACACAGGCAGAGAGCATGGGGGAAAGATGGGCTCACAAAGGAAGGTGAGGCCGCAGTGTATCATGTTCTTTATGCAAATCCAGTGTTGTGGAACCCAGGATAAAATCATAAAGAAAATTTCAGACATCATTAATATTCTGCTAAATCTGAAAAAAATTTCATAAAGCCATAAAAAGGGACATAATGATGGTACTGAAAAAAGATACATAGAAAAATTATTATATTATGGTAATATATGTAACTCTAATGTAATTGGGTGGCGCTTCCCAGGTGGTGCTAGTATTAAAGAACCTGCCTGCCTGTGCAGGAGATGTAAGAGACACAAGTTTGATTCCTGGGTTGGGAAGATCCCTTGGAAAAGGGAATGGCAATCCATTCCAGTATTCTTGTTTGGAGAATCCCATGGACAGATAGTCTGGCAGGCTACAGTGCATGAGGTCACAAAGAGTTGGACACAACTGAAGTGACTTAGCATGCATACCACATATTAGGGAAAAAACCAAACTCTGGCCTTTCAGCTTTGGTTTGCATTTTTCTTAAGAAAACCACCAATAGGACCTCAAACAAATCTTCCCCATGATGTTGTGTGTTACTTCACTTGACTACTAGGTAGAAGAATAAGCCATCATTTTATTTCACTTCCATCTGTAGTCTGGATACCCTGGAAGTTAAGCTTAGTTTTGGACAGTTTTTTTTTTTCTTTCCCAGGAACTGAAGGTGAGTTGAGCATTGTGATGTAGACCTACACTCCAGAGAATATAGAGGCTTCCCTTGTTCGGTGCCTCCTGCGTTCTGATAATGTTGAAGACATTTGAGTTGTGTCATCCCTAAACCTCATGTTAATCCAGCAGAGACAGGCATGATTATCCCCATTTTTCAGATGAGGAGACTGAGGACTGGGTTAAATCATTTATTCAAACTTATGCAGGTAAAAGTGCAAATTCATTGTCAGAGTGGGGTGGGTGCTATGGCCAGTATCCAGGGGAGGAAGGGCAGGTACCCACTAGCAGGTAGACCACCTGTCTCCTTACCGACGCCTCCTTGGTGTTGGTCTCCTCTGATGCTGACTTGGCCACCTTCTGGATGATGGGAGCGATGTTGGTGGGGCCGTAGAGCTGGAGTTTAGGAAGGCAGCTCTGATAGGCTTCCACAACTCCTTGAATCCCTGAGGTAAAATCGGCAAAGATCAATAGCTAAATAGTCTTCTAAATAAATTTAAATTCAAACACACACACACACACGAAGCATTAACTTCCCTCAAAGAGTCCTTATCAATAGCACATTTATGTCCTTAAGATAAAAAAGAAAACATCACATCTGGGCTGGTGTTACTGCCACCATTCCACTAAAATCATTCTCTTTATGCATTTTAGTTATTTTTTGAAATTGGTTTGGGAAGAATTTATTAATGAATGATTGTGTTTCCTAGAGAATATGACCAAGTTTTTTTTTTATGACAAAGAGAACATTCTAGACCCAGTTAAAAAAATGTCAGTTACAAACCTATGTAGTCCCAAAACTTTTCTACACTTTCAAAAATAAGGGGTTCATGCTGGGGATATTTTGCAACCCTACAGCTTAAAACTCAGAGAGAAAGTTTTCGGTCAGAACTCATCCTCTTAAAAGGTTCACATCAAAAGCGATCATTTTACAGGTGAAGAAACTGAGGCTCAGAGAGGTTTGTTGCAGACTCAGGATTCCCACCAGGTATGTCTGGCTCTAAGGGCCATGCTTAAGGCTTTAACATTTCTCCAGTTTTTGGACCACCCTGTTGACTATAGTATACCCACCCCAGGCCACCTATGTGAGTAATGTGTACATACAGCCGTCTCTCCAAAGGCTAAAGTCTTTGTGGGCAGGAATTGCATCTTCCTCTTTCATAAGCTCAAGGCATGTCAGGCACATAGTAGCTGCTCCCTAAATGTGTGATGGGTGAGGAAAATGACTGCTACTGTTATCTGTTGGGGACTGTAGTACAGACAAGTGACACTCATCACCATAGGCACCCCTCATTTAAGGGGGCTTCCACCCAAACATCACGACAGGTAGGCTTTGTTTGTGGAGCTTCTCCCAGCCTGAGTCTTGACTGCACAGTGAAGGTTCTAATCATGATCCCACAGTGACACAGTCCCATTACCAGTGATTTTTGTTCAAAGGGTCCTGTCCATGCCTGTGCCTCTGTTCCTTCTCCCTTCCCCTGTTTCATCTCATCCTCCTATAGCCCTCTCTACCCTAAAACAACACACTGGTCCTGTTTCAGGCCAGAGAGACTCACAAAGTCCCTCCTGTGGTTGTTTTCTGTCCATATCTTTCTAACCAGCTTTTGGGCTTCTTGGATGTAGCTGTATTCTGTTTTACCTTTATACACACGCATGCAACAAAATGTGTATGAAAATGACTGAAAGTGTTCCATTATCTTTAGTCTGCCATTCTAAAGACAGATACCAAATCAATATACACAGCCTGGTTTTGCAGTTAAGTGATACTGAATAGAAGTTCTTTATCTTTTTTGGCCCTTGAGTTTTTGCTTAAGATAAGCAAGTTTGAATTCTCTTTCAAAGGTAGCAGGCAGATAAATTCTAACATGTGACACAGGTTAACATGAGATATGTCCTTCACTCTGCTTTGATGAAAAAATCACTCTTACAGTTGAAAAGCAGGGATGGTTCCAGATGAGGGAAGCCTAAATTGTAATAAACTTGGCATGAAGGATGGTGAAAGGGAATAAGAGCCGAATGGAGATCTGGTCTCAGAGGTTGTTCTGTGCAGATCTGGGGATACTGATGTTATGTTCTTGGACAGTTAGTGCCAGATTTGTGAAAGAAACTGCAGAAAGCTCGACATCCCCCACAGGATCTGAATTAACTCTGTTCTGGTTTCCTCCTTGACAGGAAGGAGGAGAGACATGAACATTTCCACCAGCCCACTGTAAAAATGTCTTACCATTTTCATAGCAACAGGTGTGCTTGGCTCTATTTATCATTTAGAAACCAGGAAAAATGATTCTAGGATACAATTTATCATCATAGTCATCATCATTATTTTGTGGAATGTGTTGGAGACTCTCCAGCTGGAAATAACAGAATAGGGATCAAAGCCTTTGAGGAGCTCTTTCTGGCACAAAACCATTGAAACGACTCCATTACCAATATGGTAAGATTGTCATATGATGTCCATACTTCCCCCTCTTCTTATTACTACACAGGAAGCTGTGAAAAATAAATACTTGATGACCACTTGGAAAGCAGAAAGGGGGTTACCTCATCACTGCCCATCAGGTGACCCTTCCCTCAAGTGGTTTTTTTTTTTTTTTTTTGGCCGGAGGAATCCAGAATTGGGATTGATATTCTTGCTCTAAGCTCAAGACCTCTTCTGCATTCTGTATTTTCCAACTCTTATACGTCTGCTCGGTTGTTATTTGGATCCAGGGAGACTAATTCTCTGCTGTGGGCAATCATCACTGACATACTGCATCGGGAGAAACTAAGATGGGAAAAGGGGGAAGGGAAGGGCTGTGGGACCCTGGCTTCGTTTCGCATCATGATTTACCTGCACATTCAGGGTTGTCTTCATTAAAGTTGATGGCGAAGTCATGAGAGACCTGGACACCAATTAAAATTTACAAAAGGAAGACAGGAGAATGACAACATTAATCCAGTCAGGAGGCACTGGGGTTAGAGTCTGCAAACAGACGCTCATTACATTCATTTTGTGTCAAGCAGCAGAAACCACTTTAAGCCTTTACAGAATCTCTCTGAGATGGAGGGTGGATTCTAAGCTCCCTGTGGAGTTGAGGTGACAGGGAGATTTTCTAGAACCAGATAAATGCTGGCAGGGGAGGGAGAATAAGGTATATGAAAAAAAAAATACAAGGAAAGATTTCAGAAAAATGTTAACTCCAAATAGCTTCAAGAGAGAAGTGGCCTCAGAACAGAGGCTAGATTTGGCTGAGTTCTATTGGGACCAAGTGATTAAAAAATGATAACTCAATAACCCAAGCTGTCTGCTGGAGATGACTATGCTTACAAAGGCTCCAGCTAAGCTGTTGACATTTACGACTCATTCTAACATAATATATAGAACTGCTGGGCCAGAGGATTTTCACATGCATACAGGTAAAAATAGACTCTAGCTTTTGGAAAAGTAATAAAGTAACATAATTTGGAAACTTCCAACACAGATTCCTCTACCTGGTGGGACCTACGTACAATACAAGGTCAAATAATACGTGGCTTATTTTTTTCTTTCTAAAACTTGAGGTGTGCCCTGACATCTAGACATTTTTATTGGGTCACATGGAATTTTACTGAGGTTTCCATTTCAAAGGCTATTTCTCAAAGCACTGACTCTCTGGGGCCTGGAAAATAGGTCATTGTGGTAAAAATCCCTTTTTTCCCAGTGCGGGTCAGAGCTGATGCTGTTGGTGCCTTGCCCACATTCCCTTGCCCTTGGCTCTTCCAGGTAACTCAATCAACTGTCAGTCATCTTACCTGGTTTATTTACCTTAAGTTTTTCTTGGGCTTCCAGAGCTGGTGTGGCTTACCCAAGTGACAGGCAAAAAGTGTTGGGGAATTAATGTCCCTGAGAGTAATGTCCCTAGAGAGTAGCTCTTCATCATGGGCTGACAGGAGGCTGTGAATCAGTATCCCAGTCCTCTGATCCCTTGGGGTCTGTGTGTACTCTGCACTGTCTCCCAGGATTTGGCTTTGGCTGTCCATGCTGGTAATGACTTGTTAGTAAACCCTGTGTTGACTTCTTCCCATTTCCCCTCTGTCTACCGAGGCTCTCTACACCTCTCAAATAAACTGCTTGGATCCTAATCCTTGCTGCAAGGTCCCTGGAGAGTGCAAACTAAGACAGAGGTGATTGTGACTCAGTTTCAATGCAAACTGAGATTTTATCCTGAAGAAGTAAGTCATGGTAACCTTATAAATTCTCTGGGGGCACCTGAGTTGCTGAGACCATCAGGGCTTGTCTGGGGCAGAGGGGAGATGAGGCATGGAGATGAGGCATGGCAAAGGGGTATCTGAATGGCTTTGAGGGAATAGAGTGAGGATGCATGAGGGATGCCTGGTAGGGTAGCAGGAAGAAGTAGTTAGCTGTCAGGCAGAGTGGATCAGGACGGGGATCAGGACTTCAGCTAACAGCTAGAAGAAGTTGCTTTAGGAGGGGGACCAGGCGGATGTCAGGGATGAGGACAGGAAGGCCTGAAGCCAGGTATGCTGCACACCTCTATCCTCAGCCCCACTGGCTCAAGGCTACCTAGAGGGATTGGGGAGTATGCTTACGCATCTCAGGGCGGCTGGACTGGTGGTTGTCCAGGTCCAGTTCCAGGCTAGAGGCTTAGCAGTTCTGTGAGGAAGGTGGGCACCCACCTGCCCACATCCTGGAACTGATACCCCATCTGAAGGGGACTGCATCTCCTGAGCTCTGGTTAATTCTTTTATGTATGATCTTTTAATTTTAGTATTGCCAGGCCTTTCAGTTTTTCCAGAGAAGCCAGAAATCTGACATTTTCATGAAATTGTCTAATTCTTTAAAAAAACAAAACAAAACTATGTGTCAGAATTGTGGCCTGATTAACATCTATAAGCCAACAGTTGACAACACTTGATCTATATTCTTCCCCCACCATGTGCTCCATTTCCAACAAATGCTTCCAAAATTCTGTAGCATTGCCAGCAGGGAGAACAGTGTGGGCCATAGGCAAACAAGAAGGAGGACAGGTCATGGAGACATGCTACTCCATCACTGCTCACTCCAGCAGGAAAAGGAAGGTAGACTCCTTTTTTCATGAAAGGCCTTTGGTCTGACTGCTGTGGCGTGGGAGCAAAAGTTGGCATCTGCCTCTTGATGTGCAGCTCAGATTAGGTCAGTAAAAGAAAAATTGATGACTGGGCAGTATTGCTTGCATTTATCTGGGACCTCAGAGATCTCCTAAGGAACACAAAACCCTATTCCTCCCCAAGAGTCTCCCACGTGGGCCATCTGGTATACCATGGGAGAGTGCCTCAGCCCCACTGCAGCACGAATCTCTCCATATACAGTCTTTACCTTCTTTGTGTCATGAGAAATCGGCATCAAGGTCCAATAGGATTCCAGTGTTTTTACAGTAGCCTTTCAGCTCCAAATTCTTTGAACCCAAGTAGCTCTTTCCTCAGGATTTCTATGTTTCTCCCACACAAGACTGGTACTTATGAACTTGGGGTGAGGGAGTCTGTAGACTTCACTGTCATGGACTTTCACTGTCAGAATGGTCAATAGGGTCTTTCTCCAGGGGAGAGCTGAATAGATGGGCTCTGAGCCATTGAAGATCAACTTCTAAGTGTTTCCACAGTCTCTGACTTGTCTGTATGAAGCTAAACAATGGAAGTTTTCATTTGGAATTGACTCTGAGACAGCCCATCAAGAACCCCAGGTGAAGGGGTGACATCTACACACCAGCTCGAGGAGCTAACCTCACTGGTTGTGAAGATCATTTCTGACTATGGGCCTTTACATAATTATGCTAAAGGTTGAAACTGTGAGACTCCTGTGAGGGAAACCCATGCCATCCTTTGTTTATAGTAAAACACCCACTCACCGTGTACTCTGGGGGTATCCTGGCACCGAACCCAAAGGCTGGGAACATCTTGTCACTGAAATTAAAAAAAGAAGTTGCTACATTTTTTCATCTAATGAGTAAGAAAAACATAACCCTGCATTGCCTCCCTGGAACAGGTCACTATACCAAATGCTAACTCATGCTTTTTGATAGCCTGCGGTAACAGGGCACAGCAATAGAGTAGAAAACTGAAATAAAGAAATAATCCCCAAAGCTCATCACTTTACTGCTTTTCTATACTATAAGTGAGAAGTGAGTAGGGGAAGAATGAATAATGACTGGCACCACAATACATCAGATATGATGCTAGGCCATGTCTATACTTAGTTAATTTTCATACAACATTTGAAGGTACACCTACTTTTTATTCCTATTTTACTGATGAATAAACTGAGTCTCAGAAAGTCTAACAAAGTGAACTAAGGTGTTTACCAGCAAGCACTGTTTAATTCCAAAGCCTATGAATTTTCTATTATACCATGAAAACTTAATGAATATGTACAGCATTAAACGTGGTTTCCTCTTGTGCTTTCTGTAACTGGGCCCCTGATCAGACCACAAACAAAACACTTCTTAAGTGAATTTTGTGTTGTCAGGGGACTGTTGCAGTGGAGCTCAGGAATATTGCTCTTTGAAGAGGGCATGTCCTTCTCAGGACACCTACTTTTTATTTTCTCTCCCATTAAAGGCTCATTTGAGATTTGTTCTTGGAACAATTTCTCCATTTCTCAATTCTTGCAGAGTCAGTCAGGGAGAAGAAGAAATTCAGATAAGGGCTCACTGCCCCTGGAATGTCTCTGGAAGCAAAAGGGGAGCCCCAGGCTGAGAAGTCAAAGGATCAAAGTCAGACTATCACTCATCACCATCTACTGATTTAGATAGAGGTCATTGGTAGCCAAAGATGGCTTTGATAGAACTTCACCAAAATACATTCAATTTGACCAAATTTGGGGCAGGTGTTGGGAGATTGAGGGAAATCAGAATTCTTTGAAATCAGAGGCTAAATTTGTCAGAAAATTACCAGTTCCCCCTTTCCCTTTCTGTTATGTAGATATGGACTTTGCATACATCTAGAAGGCTTCCCTGGTGGCTCAGATGGTAAAGCGTCTGCCCGCAGTGTGGGAGACCTGGGTTCAATTCCTGGGTTGGGAAGATCCCTTGGAGAAGGAAATGGCAACCCACTCCAGTACCCTTGCCTGGAAAATTCCTTGGACTGAGGAGCCTGGTAGGCTATAGTCCATGGTGTTGCAAAGAGTCGGACACAACTGAGCGACTTCACTTTCACTTTCAGAAGGTATAAGGGTATTAATGATGATAAACAGAAAATCATAAAAGCTTATAAACGATTAGACACAGGTCTGAAAGACTTCTGGGCCTTGGAAATATTGAAATGCTTTGTTTCAGAGATTCCTTCTTAGCTACGATAAGGGTGATGAGTGTGAGGGAGTTTTTAGAGGTACTTTCTAGTTAGGTCTGAAAGAAAGCTGTTCTGGGTGAAGGATGGGTCCAGCTTCTTCCAACTCAGATGGCTCAGAAGTCAAAGCAGAGAAAATTAGGAAGCTCCACACTTTTTATTTTCTTTGATGAGTTTAAGAGAGGTGAGATCTAGTATTCTGTTTCTAATCAGCAAACCAGTGTTTCAGATTTTATACCTTCAAGCCAACCTTGGGGATTTGAAGTTTACTGAGCATGAGGCACTGTTACACAATTGAGTTTCAACAGCAGGAAGGGAAAATGTCTCACCTACAAGGGGAATAATTAATGAGTCATGAGGGTGTCAATTCTCTGAAGTTAACCACCACACAGACTCTAATATAATAAGCATACTAAAGAAATAAAAAAATCAAGCCTAAGGACAATAGATTTAAGCATTCACTTTCCCTGATTAAAAATAAAACTAGACAGAGAGAGGGAAGGCAAGGTGAGCACACAGGCAGTAAAGGCTTGCCAACACATCAGAGAACTTAAAACGAGACCTACCAGCACTTATAAAGGGGCCGTTTAGAAACTACTGAGATGACTGGTGGAACCTCCCAACCTGGAAACTTCAAGGCAGATTGAATTTTCTGAAGGTAGTATTTCTTACTATTGTAATAAAATAGTATAAAATATGATCAAAGAGCCCAGGATTTTCAGTGGCAATGGGCTTGCGGTCTTGAACTTAGGGAAAGACCTTGGTCAGATGATCTGCCAATGGGAGCTGCATTTTTATCTTCCCAGGTAAGGAAGAGGGGGCTAAAGCAAGAGATGAATCAAAGGAAAGACTGTGTCCATAATAAAATGTAGATGAACTCAGTGAAATCGCATTTTAGAACAGCTAGACATTAAATAAGGTTGTTCTCTAAAGAGGTGGTCTTCAAGTTGGGGTATGTGGAGGTGCAAAGCCCTTCTATAGAAATAAGAGCATGGCTTCTTTGAAAGGAAATCAATATTCATCTCCTTTACCTCTCCACGTATTCTTTGCTGAAATTGATCTTCTGGGAGGGTCTGTGATTGAAGTACCTGCTCCTCATCCACACCTCCCCTTTCCCAGTAGCCCTCTGCTCACCCACTCAGAATCTCAGGCACCGTGTGCATGGCTCCCCTTTGTAGAAGTTCCACAGCAGAATACAAAGGGACATTTCCTGATGAGAATGACTTGCTAGCAAACAAATCCTTTTGTGAGTCAGGTAGTTGCCAGTTTTTGCTTAAAAGAATTGTTGGAAGTGCTGATGTCAGATGGTAGACCATTAAAAACATCTTTTGATGAGAGATATGTAATTTTTTTATATAAAACTTTGAATTGAAAGAAATGCATAACACTGCTAGGCAAACTCTTTTCGTTACCATGGACTTATAAAAACAAGCTTTCTTAGTATTTACATTGATAAAGCAAAAAATTGAATTAGAATTGATGCTGGACTTTTCCTTTCTGGTCAGAGGGGGCAGTTACCCCCAGATATGTAAACCAGCTGGGGAAAGAACCTAGTATCTGTTTCATTAAGATTTAAAAAAAGTTTTTATAGGCAATAATCAGTTATTGAAATTTTCCAAATATTTATGCTCAATTAGGCAACAATAATGATTATAATAAAAACTAATCCAGAAGATATTTTTAAAGCTTCAAATCTTTTCATTACAGTAAATTTTAGAAATTGGAAATTTAAAAATTTATATTCATATTTTAATTAAAGAAATAATATAGTGTTCAATTAAGGACTTTCAAAGCAAACTTTAAAGATACATTGGGATGAAATTCTATGGGAGAAGGGAATGAAAATATGACCTCATGAAAAAGAAGAAACAGAATTCTCAACTCAAACCGACGAACTTGTTCACGTAGTTTTTAAATGGATGATGGTGGGGATCAAGTGGTGTTTAGTTCTGCTGTATGCATTCAACAGAGTTATGTAAGAGTTTTATTTTTAAATGTCCATATTTACATTATATTGGAATTTTCATTCTTTGTCACTATTTAAACTCATGATGGAAAATGTTAGGTTTCAATGTAATAGGGTGTGAAGGTTATATGTTTAAACATTCTTTTTAGGGGTATGTGAGCCAAAAATTTTAAAGGTCATTGGTCCAAAATGACTTTTAGGTCTGACGCTATAGTTCTTTTCCCTTTGTGTCAGTTGCTGTTTTAAAAATAAGTAAAGAGTATAAGCCTCTATCAATTAATAAGCCTCTATTATTTATTAAGAATGTACAAAAGGCAGAACTTTTATATCTAATTCTTACAACTACTCTGCAGGGGAACTTAGCTGAATCTTTCATTTGCTGTCAGGGAAACAAGGCCCAAGGAGTTACCTCAGGATGTGCACCAGACTAATTAAATCTGGGGATAGGGCCCAGGCACCAGCCTGCGTTAAGGCTTCCCTAGTGCTTCCAAAGTGGAGCCAAGAGAACAATGGATTGGTGTCTGCAGAGTGAAAAAGACAGCACTGTGATGTGACTTCTGACTTCTAACCCAATCAATGCCTCCCTGGCCTTGAGCAGCCTAAAGAGACCACGTTGCTTGTAGGAGCTGGGGGGAGGGCTACGACCGACTGGGAACAGATGAGCTCGTTTGTGAGGCCCACACTTGGGGAGCTGGAGGAGACAGAAGGCAGGGGTCTCTCTCTCAGAAGCACAGAGAAAACGGGCTCGCAGAGCTGCCTTCCAGGCTTAGGACCTGAGCCTCCCCTCAAGACTGCCCTGAGAACTCTGAGCTTCACGCGTCTCTCAAGCTGTTCAGCTTCATGGATCAGCTCGTCACGACCCGTGAGCAGTGAATGTACAAGGCAGGAAGAAAACTCTTGGCTGTCAGAGGCTGAGAGGAATTTCAAGGTTCCTGGGGATTAAATGCCTCTGTGTCGCTGCAGGTGGGCAAATAGAGCCTTCTGTCAGTTTTTACTCAACTGTTTCTTTTTGAGCAGCAACCTCTCTGACTTTGATGCAAGAATAAATTAATTCCAAAGCCCCTACTTGCAATGTCCTGACTGTCTGTCTATTGTCTTTCCACCCACACAGAGAAGCGAGGGAAACTTGTCAGTTTTCATGAAGTGATTAGTGTGCTGATTTCAATGCTGAGGTGCTTTCTTTATATGAAAAATAAAAATGCTCCACTGAATTGAAGAAATCTGATTTTCTTGGCCAGTTGGGACCAACAACTTTGGTATTTTCCTTTAAAATTTAAAAAAAAATTAATTTATTTGAATTGGAGAATAATTACAATATTTTGATGGTTTTTGCCACATATAACATGAATCAGTTTTTTCAAAGAATCATCTAAGGTGATTCTTTATGTAACCCAAAGGTATCATTTCTTACTTTTATCTGTACTTTTGAGGAAATACAAAAATCCTCCCCAGGTTTGTCTGGCTCATATTATAAAGGGATAATAGCTCCAAAAGATGTGTTGGTCCCTCTGACTGTCTTATCTGCATTTGGAGTTTGAGGTAATCAGGAAACAGAAGCTCTGTAGCCTGTCTAATAAGTCTGCTGCAGAACCACAGCAAGGGCTCTGGGTGTTGGCATCTTAATTTCTGGCCAAGCCACCAATTTGCTCTTTGGAATTCATTACTAGGCTGCCTTGTGTCTGCAGAGTCAGTCAAGGTCAACTTTACTAACTGAACTAAGTGTTTGTTGTGTTGTATTAAGTGCTTTTACCTACTTTACTTTATGAGCATTTCAATATTTAAAAGTTATTAAGAATCCTGAAGAAGTTCTAACTGTTCTTCTCTTAAATGGACACATTATGACACTAGATAACATTTTGTGTATGGGGGGGGGAGGGTAGAGAGAAAGAGAAAGAAAGAAAGGAGGGAATTACTGTGGTGGTATTTTGGGGGCTATTTGGAGGAGTTTCTAACAGTGGGAATTTCAATCTGTCTGTTTTTTTCCCTCTTGGTAAAAATCTCCATATGACTTGAGCCTTTCTAAGAATCGTTCCTGAATTGGGGCCTGAAGAAATCAGAGCTGAAATTCAAGTTGCCCTCACAGACAATATTTCAAGGTTAAGTACAAGTATCATTTCAACAGGGTAATTTAAACTGCTATTACTGCTCTCTGTTCCAAACGTGGAGGGGAAGTGTTGGCAAGGGCCTCAGGTTTAGCACTATCTGATTTGACTGCATCTGTTAGTTCATCCCCAGCTAGCTTCGTATACATCTGAGTTACTGGTGATGACCAATCCGAATCCAGACACTCGCCAGTGGGAAGGACACTCATGCACCTTCTGGTCACTAGGTTGTGTCACTCCCTAAGTGCCTGGGTACCAGGTTTTTAATATGGTTATCACCAATTATGAGACTAGAAAGAATAGAAATCAGGCTATTTCACGAAATCTCTCTGAAAGTGGAGGACAGAGTCACTTCCTTTATTTTCCTGGTCAATTAGTTACAGCTTGGGCTTCCCTGGTGGCTCAGTTGGTAAAGAATCTGCCTGCAATGCAGGAGACCTCAGTTCAGTTCCTGGGTTGGGAAGATCCCTGGAGAAGGGAAAGGCTACCCACTCCAGTATTCTAGCCTGGAGAATTCCATGGACTGTGTAGTCCATGGGGTCGCAAAGAGTTGGACATGACTGAGCAACTTTCACGTCACTTAGTTACTGCTTATTACTAACTAGTCCTGTTTTACAATCACATCAGGCTGTCAACTGAGATTTACCCATAATATATTTACACTGGTTCTATTTCAAAGAGCCTTCTTAATCAAACATGTGAACAACTTCACCTCAATCTAGAAATATTGGAAAGGCAAAATAAATTCAGTTCAATGTAGTTTATGTAAATCACTTCTTACAAGGAATTCTCTTTGTGGGCAAGGTCAATGTTTGCCATCAAGTGAAAATAAATATAATACCGATCTGAACTCAAAATTGTGTTTTCTATACAGGCATACAAACACATATAAACACTGTCGTGGGCTCACACACACCCTCTGCTAAAGTTACCAATAGCTTTTGAGGTCAGTGAAATCCCATGATTACGAGTTTATGCTGTGGAAGGAGCTGGCTCTGGGTTTAAATCTTGCCCTTGGCTGTAGGTCAGGGTACACACCACTTCCCCTCCCTGCACAGTTTTCCTCTTCTGTTAAACAACACCCATGACAGAAGGGTTAGTATGAGGACAATAAAGAATAGTGCCCAATAAACTGGTGCTTCTCAAATCTCAAATTGCACACAAGTCATCTAGGGATCATGTTACAGTGCAGATGCTGACTTAGATGTTCAAGTGGAGCTTGATGTTCTGCGACATTATGTTGCTAGTCAATGCACACAACTTTGCAAGTTTCTGTATGTAGTAAGGCACATAATGAAACTTCATAAAAGAGAAACCAAAATCTCTATCCAGTGGTCCTGCCAGCCAAGAAAGAGAAGAAATGATTTTTTGGTGGCCAATGTGAGCTTGGCATGAACTCAGTTCCTCCAGAGGTGAATAGCCAGGCTTTATTTTGTCCCCTCATGAGCCTCAGCATAACTTCATTTCCATTATTCTGCCCAGGATCAGCTAGGGGCCACAAGAATCCCCAGAGATGGGAAGTCTCATACCTGTCATAGTCTTGGCAAATCTCTCCCACTGCCACCAAGGCCTTCAGGTACTCATTGGGCTGGTAGGGGTGGATGTAGTGCAGGGAACAGCTGTTCCTGGGGTCCCCATTTGAGGCCGTGAAATCTATAGCTACCTGGAAGAGAAGATAGGAGAGTGGGTGGATTTAAAGTGAACATATTTCATTTAACCTTGACAGTGATGCAGCCTGAGGGAGGGGGAAAGTTGTATGTTACACATCCTGCTGACAAGCAGAGTTAGAGAAGAAATTCATTAGCTTTAAAAATTAGTTGTTCAAATGTTGGAGAGGATGTGGTGAGAAGGGCATCCTCCTATATTCTTGGTGGGAATGTAAATTGGTGTGGCCACTATGGAAAACAGTATGGAGGTTCTTATGGAGGTTCCTCAGAATACTAAAAATAGAGTTACCATATGATCTAGCAATCCCACTCCTGAGTGTATATCCAGACAAAACTATTTCAAAAAGATACATGCACCCTCTATGTTCATAGCAGTGGTATTCACAATAGCCATGACAGGAATGTCCATCTACAGGTAAAAGGATAAAGAAGATATGATATAGCAGAATACTAATTGACCATAAAAAGAATGAAATAATGCATTTGTAGCAACATGGATGCAGCTGGAGATTCTCATACTAAGCAAAAAGTAAGTCAGAAAGAGAAAGACAAATATGATATCACTTACATGTGGAATCTAAAATATGACACAGATGAGCTTATGTACAAACAGAAACATACTCAGAGGCATGGGGAACAGACTTGTGGTTACCAAGGGGGAGAGGGTGTGGGGGAAGGATGGAGTAGGAGTTTGGGGTTAGCAGCTGTAAACTAAAGGGAGTCAACCCTGAATGTTCACTGGAAGGACGGATGCTGAAGCTGAAGCTCCAACACTGATGTGAAGAGCCAACTCATTGGAAAAGGCACTGATGATGGGAAAGATTGAGGGCAGGAGAAGGGGGCAACAGGATGAGACAGTTGGATGGCATCACTGACTCAATGGACATGAGTTTGAGCAACCTCCGGGAGATAGTGAAGGACAGGGAAGTCTGGTGTGCTAGAGTCCATGGGGTCGTAAAGAGTCGGACACAACTTGATGACTCAACAACAACAAACTGTAAACTATTATATATAGATTGGATAAACAGCAAGGTCCTACTGTATATTGCAGATGACTGTATTCAGTATCCTATGATAAACTGTAACAGAAAATAATATTTTAAAAAAGAATGTATATATATGCACAACTGAATTGCTTTACTATAGAGCAGAAATTAAAACAACATTGTAAATCAACTATACTTCAATAAAAACATTAAAATAAAATAATTTTTAAAAAGAAAAAAAAACAGTGGGATAATAGGTGACTGAGGATGATTGGGAGTGACCTAAAAGGACCAGTGAAATCCAATATCTTCTGAGATAGACTTCATCCTGAAGGTGAAAGTCAAGCCAGTGAAAAGAGAGAGGAAGACAACATGAACTGTGGTGAAAAGTTACTTGGGGGTGGGGAGTCTACATGCATTTTGCAATCAAAGGGCATTCTAGGTCACACCTATCGGGCACCAACCTAGACAAAGGTCCAGATACATTCAGACAATCCCTGGAAAACTTCTCCAAGGAAGACACTCAAAAGATACCCAAGAGACAGGGTTTGGAGAAATCAAGCATCTCAGGCCTCCTGGATTTGCTAAGCTTCAACACACACCTGTCACTCTTGACTTCTGTCCTGACAAGACACACTTAAGAGATCATGGCACCTCACAGGTGCACGTAGTGTTTAAAAAGTAAAAATAGTGCTGGGAAGGCTAGAAGTAAAGCACCTTTTTCTTTCCTACTGTGGAAAGCACTTTAGAACTGTAGAAAATTCTAGAGACTGCAAGGATGTTGCAGAGATAAACTTGATTCTCAGATAGCGCTAGTGGTAAAGAACCTGCCTGCCAATGCAGGAAACATAAGAGATGTGGGTTCGATCCCTGGGTCAGGAAGATCACCTGGAGAAGGAAATGGCAACTCACTCCAGTACTCTTGCCTGGAATATCCCATGGACAGAGGAGCCTGGTGGGCTATAGTCCATAGGGTCAGAGAGCCAGACATGACTGAAGCGACTAAACACACACACACAAACTTGATTCTGCTCTGATTTATCAGCGTCACTGTAAATATTGCAAATCACTGACATTCCAATCTACCTGTGTTTTTTAATACTGCAGTTGTCCCATGTGTGTTGATTACCTGATTGTCAAGGGTGTCTCATGATGACAAAAACATGCTGGTATCCTGATGTAAAATCAGAGAATGAAATCAGATAAATCAGATAATATAAAGAATAGAGGGGAAAACCTCCATAAAGAAAAACGGCAATTCAAGAAACGTAATTGAACATCTAATCCTCCTAAGCACGGGCGAGATGCTCCAAGCATGTAGGCACCAAGAGGCAGCATTTGAGCCCAGGTGTATCACCTGGATGAGTCCCTGTGGTGTTGGAAGAAGTGTATGTAACATTGGATGAGCATTAAAAATTTTGGCAATAACTATATTAAATTTTGAAAAAAATCATAGGGCTGGGATTAGGGTAAGACAAGAGAGGTGACTAGGGCATAAACTCAGGAAGGCACTCATCTGAGCTGATCCTACACTTGCCCAATTCAAGTGATACCTCCTTAAATTTTGCATCCTAGGTGCCTTCCTCTCTTTCTTCACTCTGGTCCCAGTGCTCTACATCTTTTCATTTCTACCAACTCTTCATCCTTAGGCTTGGAATAATTCCCTTATGCTTAATAAACTAGGGGGAGGCAGAGATGGTGGTGAGAAGAGGATTGTGATGGAATATATTAAGCATGGAATAGAAATAGGATATTCATTGATTCTGAAGTTGGATGCTAGTTAGGGAAGGGAGTGGCCAGATCTCCTTGGGGATGAAGGAGATTATGAAGTGGGGTAACTTGAAGTTCAAGGTTAGTAGGCAGTATTGAGTTGCCTGTTCCTGGTGGTGCTGTAGAGAAAAACATGCCCAGTGGAAATTGCTTTTTATTTTTCTGCAGGCCTCTGGGGTTTGCACTCTTTCTGTGGGAATGGCCCCCTTATTTACGACAACCACAGAGGCTATTCAAGCTCAGGAGATGCTGATGAAACTTTGGGGAAGTGTATTAACCTAAAAATTATCTGATAAAAAAAAGAAATAAAATAATGATCCCTATCACATGCTGCTTTCTATAGTTCCCTCTGCTCATAAAAATATTTTATCATTTGTTGTTGTTGTTGTTCAGTCACTCAGTTGTGTCCAATTCTTTGCAACCCCATGAACTCCAGTATGGCAGGCTTCTCTGTCCTTTACCAACTCCTGGAGCTTGCTCAAACTCATGTCCATTGAGTCAGTGATGCCATCCAACCATCTTATCCTTTGTCATGCCCTTTTCTTCCTGCCTTCAATCTTTCCCAGCATCAGGGTCTTTTTTAATGAGTCAGCTCTTCACATCAGGTGGCCAAAATATTGGAGTTTCAGCTTCAGCATCAGTCCTTCTGATGAATATTCAGGACTGATTTCCTTTAGGATTGACTGGTTTGATCTCCTTGCAGTCCAAGGGACTCTCAGGAGTTTTCTCCAGCATCACAGTTCAAAAGCATTAGTTCTTCAGCGCTCAGCTTTCTTTATAGTCCAACTCTCACATCCATACATGACTACTGGAAAAACCATAGCTTTGACTAGACAGACCTTTGTTGGCAAAGTAATGTCTCTGCTTTTTAACATGCTATCTAGGTTGGTCATAGCTTTTCTTCCAAGGAGCAAGCATCTTTTAATTTCATGGCTGTAGTCAACACCTGCAGTGATTTTGAAGTCCCAAAAAATAAAGACTTTCACTGTTTCCATTTTTTTCCCCATCTATTTGCCATGAAGTGATGGGGCCGGATGCCATGATATTAGTTTTTTGAATGTTGAGTTTTAAGCCAGCTTTTCCACTCTCCTCTTTCACCTTCATCATGAGGCTCTTTAGTTCCTCTTTGCTTTCTGCCATGAGGGTGGTGTCATCTGCATATCTGAGGTTATTCATATTTCTCCTGGGAATCTTGATTCCAGCTTGTGCTTCTTCCAGCCCAGCATTTTGCATGATGTACTCTGCATGGAAGTTAAATAAGCCAGGTGACAATATACAGCCCTGATGTACTCTTCTCCTAATTTGGAACCAGTCTGTTGTTCCATGTCCAGTTCTAACAGCTGCTTCTTGACCTGCATACAGGTTTCTCAGGAGGCAGGTAAGGTGGCCTGGTTTTCCCATCTCCCGAAGAATTTTCCACAGTTTGTTGTGATCCATACAGTCAGAGGTTTTAGCATAGTCAATGAAGCAGAAGTAGCTGTTTTTCTGGAATTCTCTTGCTTTTTCAATGATCCAAAGGATGTTGGCAATTTGATCTCTGGTTCCTCTGCCTTTTCTAAATCCTGCTTGAACATCTGGAAGTTCTCGGCTCACATACTCTTGAAGCCTAGCTTGGAAAATTTTGAGCATTACTTTACTAGTGTGTGAGATGAGTGCAATTGTGTAATAGTTTTAACTTTCTTTGGCATTACCTTTCTCTGGGATTGGGATGAAAACTGACCTTTTCCAGTCCTGTGGCCACTGCTGAGTTTTCCAAATTTGCTGGCATAATGAGTGCAGCACTTTCACAGCATCATCTTTTAGGATTTGAAATAGCTCAACTGGAATTCCATCACCTCCACTAGCTTTGTTCATAGTGATGCTTCCTAAGGCCCACTTGACTTCACACTTCCTCCAAGATGTCTGGCTCTAGATGAGTGATCACACCATTGTGGTTATCTGGGTCAATAAGATCTTTTTGTATAGTTCTTGGCTATCTTGTCTCACTTTATCATTTGACTTGGCAGTAAATAGACAGTCTCAGGTACAAGGCAGCTCAAAGGTGCCTTTTTCCCCCCCTGGCGAGTGATGGCTCCTAAAGTCTCCCTGATGAGGCTAGAGATAAGAATTTTGTCTTCAGGAGGTGGTCTTCTACCACCAATTCTCTGTGCTCTTTAAGTTAGCATGAGTGCAAAGAGAACAGCGAGAAAGGTTAGGTTTATTTTAAAAAGCAACAGGGAGGCTGTGAAAGATGGGACTAA